AGGATGCGTTCAGGGTTTCCTTGGCGGTGAACACATCCTCTCAGTTTGATTCTCGCTGCTGTGATTGACAGCGGGTCGATGCACCCGGCGTCCAATCACAGAGAGACTTGAACAGGAAGCGAGAGATTTTGGACTCGATGTGTCACAGGACTTGATTTAAAGGCCAGTACGGAAGCTCATCAGGGCCAGTAAAGGTGCAGAGTAACAGCTGGAGTTTATATTTGGCTGTGATGGGCCTCCGTAGGTGTGAGCTGCACTTTGACACGTGTTTAAAAATCAAACTTGTTGAAAATAATTTTGTTTTTAATGATGACACGAGCAAAATAAATTGAAGTCACTGATTGTGTCCGCCTGCTCATTGTGTCTGCTGGAGGTCAGAGGTCATCGTCAACACTTTGGTGTAAAGGTGATTGATCTGTGTCGCGTTCGTTTGAAGCGATCGATCCTCTCTGTGGCTGGACTGAAACGAGCACAGAGGCACTAATCAGGCAGCACAGGAACGAGCTCTGAGCACAGATCCATGGAGGCTGGGGTCACAGCAGGCACGACCCCCGGCTGCGTGAAGATGAGACAGCACAGAACAGCAGGTGCGAGACGCTGCAGGCAGGGCGCACGTGGGACGCCGTAACAGAGTGGCCGGCATAGTGTACAGCAGTGGTCCCCAAACTGTTTTTGCTAGGCCCCCCTTTGTTTCACAATACACACACACACACACGCCCATATTTTGTTTTCAGCTCCGTTGCAGTTTATTCCACACCTCAATTAAACCGAAGTAAACTGCAAGAAATTACAGGTTGCAATTAAGTAAACCACGGCCTCTTTTAAATAAAAGGAGAACAAACCATCTTTATGGTGTCATTATTTTACAGATAGTTGGATTATTTTCACTGAAAGAATATTCAACACATCAAAAAATGTCTCTGTGCAAAACAACTTTGGGACACTGTGTCTGATTGAGTCGGGGAATAAGCCGTGACACGTGTTTACCGAGGCAGGTATCACCGACAAAACGTGTTCCCCGTGTCGCGAGCGTTCACTGGGCACGCAGTGAGGATCCAGTTTACTCCCCCCCCCCATCACAGACATTAGACATGGAAGCAGGGATGTTTTAGTGTTGTTACCTTCGAGTGTGAGGGCTGCAACAGGAAATGATGCATTTATTGTTCTCACGCGGTATCAGACGGGATTATTTGAACAAACGACCTTTTGCCTGATAATTATTTGTATCCTCCTGTAACTTTACTGTACAGACCTGAAACCTCCAAAGTGTCAGGAGTAGTTAGTTGTTATAAGAAGTATTTGTGAACTAAAAATCAAAAACGTGGGATACTGTTTATCAATGATTTGGAGAGCCCAGCGTGTGCTCCCAACGCAGGGGAGACAAAGTCTGTCGGGGAGACCTACAGCTGCTGTGCAGGTGAAGCCAAACCCAGATAGCAAGGAGACAGTGAAACAATGTTCACTGTAGATGGCCGGGACACCATCATAACACTTATGTCGGTCTGTCTTAAAGAGAAACTGCAAAGAAAGTCAAGGTGTCAGTGAGTCCAGTTTCCTTCAGCATCCAAAGGCTCAGAAACTGTGACAGGAGGAGGTCTGCAGACCCACAGACACGTTCCTGAGAGTTA